CATTTTTATCGATCGATAGTTGGTAAAAATTGAAATGACCGTTTCATGAAAATGCCTTGAATAACAAAATGTGGCACACCAATTCTATTTGACCGTTTGAGGCTGAGAGCAGCCGGTCTTTTTATGAAAGTTTCGGTCAAGTCCGGAATATATGACCGTTTTGGAAGCCCTGCAATTACCCCCAAAATCAATCCCAGCCTTCCCTTTGTGGTATGGTACCTTGCAGTACAATTTCAGAGAGATCCATACGGTCCGGGTACACAGTTATCGTCCTTTGATTTTCGTTGTCCACGAATATAGTCCCTAGTGTGGACAGTGTGTTACTTGTTGATTTTTTTTATACCCCTTCCAAATTTATTTCTCCATGTTTTATGACTCAAATAGTAAGTAGGGGGGTGAAATGACACTGTAAAAAAATTTGGGTCATGAATTTTAAAGTAAAGTAGTGATTTGGTCCAGCTGAAAAATGTTAAAAATTAGCACTTCGGAAGCTGTCAAAAGATTTGAAGACCCCCTTAACATGAAATTGTCCATATTTTGAGTTAGAGCCGATGAAGTTTTCTATAATTTTGATATAATTTGTCCCAAAAGTAGTACAACACACTGTAAAAATATTATTGAGAAAGCGCAGGTGGGATTTTTTTAATTTTCATTTATTGTCTAAAAGAAATGCACTACGAAATAACTGTGTACTCGGACCTAAGAGGTGAAATCAGGAAATACAGAATCTGTACTTTGGCAACTTCCCTGAATGATTTGATGGTGTCAATTTATCAAATAACATAAAACTAAAGGATTTAAACTTTTATTTGATAGAATTTCTGCAAAAATGACCAATTTTGGCATTTTATGGTCAAAATAAGCATTTCATAGCTTTTTCAATTTTGATGCATAAGTGGCATTCTGACTTTCTATCTGACAGGTTTTTATGTATCAATATTTGTGTTTCTATGCTTCAATCCAGTTGTATTACTCATTTGTGAACTCTGAATCTACAGAAAAGCAGATTATCTCAGACAATATGTGCAAAATGTGTTGTATATATGATCCTCGTCTAACGCCCTGTTTGGATCAAGTTAAATGTGAAGAGCTTGGAACATCAAAGTTGAAGTCCATTATAAAGACCTCACTAACTTTGTATAAAAAGCACTTAACATTGTCTTTTGTACCTGTTTTATGTCACATAATATCTTTCTTTTCTTCTGTAGGATAGCAAGTGGTTCAAATATAAGCCTGTTGAGACTAAAATTGCATGCATGTTTTTCACTGAAAAGTGAAAAATCTTTGTATCAGACCATACTGTCTGCAAAAAAAGTTAAATGCAAGAGTCTTTTTGTGCTCAAATTTATTGTATCATGTCACCTGAGTATAGAAATGATAGAAAAGACACAAAATTTTATTTTCTATAGCTTCAATATGCATTTTTAAATGTAAATATGTGATACGGCCTAAATTGACCCTAAATTATTTTCAGTCTTACTTGGCCTAAGACCCTTTTAAACTAATGTGATATGTTATTTGTAAGTTTTCTTTCCATTAAAAGTACATTAAATACAAATGTAAGGATTATTTATAACCAAAAAGCTTTACAAATTTAAAATTGCTGGAAAATATTACATCTTTATGTAAGGCCCCCCTTCATTGGAAAACCTCAATTTTTAGCCACAGGCTCATATAAATTTGACTTTTTAATAATTATGATAAGTCTGATAAATCAAATGAGTACTCTATTGCTTTTAATACATAATATATTATATATTAAGGCATTTCAAAAGTATTTTTTTGCAATATTTTAATTTTTTAAGCCCCAAATGTTGATAGTTGAAAATTTTCAATTTTAACGTCTAAATTTCACACGCAAAGTTGAATATAGAATTAGTCATATTGTCTATAATATATATCCTATTGCCATGAAACTTTGTAAGCAGTCTTATAATTTAATAAGCTTTGGTCATACCAAGTTTCATTAAGATTGGTCAATTTTTTCTACCCTATTAGGTCCGGGTACACAGTTATCGTCCTTTGATTTTCGTTGTCCACGAATATAGTCCCTAGTGTGGACAGTGTGTTACTTGTTGATTTTTTTTATACCCCTTCCAAATTTATTTCTCCATGTTTTATGACTCAAATAGTAAGTAGGGGGGTGAAATGACACTGTAAAAAAATTTGGGTCATGAATTTTAAAGTAAAGTAGTGATTTGGTCCAGCTGAAAAATGTTAAAAATTAGCACTTCGGAAGCTGTCAAAAGATTTGAAGACCCCCTTAACATGAAATTGTCCATATTTTGAGTTAGAGCCGATGAAGTTTTCTATAATTTTGATATAATTTGTCCCAAAAGTAGTACAACACACTGTAAAAATATTATTGAGAAAGCGCAGGTGGGATTTTTTTAATTTTCATTTATTGTCTAAAAGAAATGCACTACGAAATAACTGTGTACTCGGACCATACACTTGAACACAAGTTATTGTCTGGAAACTAGAAAAATGCTATTTTTGGCCCATTTTTGGCCCTTATTCCTAAATGTTTTGGGCAAATAACCCCAAACTCAATTCCAGCTTTCCCTTTGTGATATGGAACCTTGTAGTTCAATTTCAGAAAGATCCATACACTTACACACAAGTTATTATCATGAAACTAGAAAAATGTTTGTTTTTTGCCCCCTAATTCCTAAAATTTTGAGGCAATTACCCCCAAAATCAATCCCAGCCTTCCCTTTGTGATATGGAACCTTGTGGTACAATGTCAGAGAGATCCATACACTAACACACAAGTTATGTCTGGAAGTTACAAAAATGCTTATTTTTGGCCCCTAATCCTTAACTTTTGGTACCATAACCCCCAAAATCAATCCCAACCTTCCTTTTGTGGTATTGAACCTTATGGTAAAATTTCATGGAGATCCATTCACTTAAACTAAAGTTAGAGTTAGAAAACTAATGTGTCTTCGGACGACGACGACAACGCCAACGTCATACCAATATACGACCATAATTTTTTTAATTTTTGCAGTCGTATAAAAATTCAGCAATTTTTCTATTTGTGTAAACACGCATAACTCTACAACGGTTGTGTATAAGTTTTATAACATTTGGTTGAGACAAACTTAAGTTACAGAATGGAAACTAAAAATTTTGCAATCTTTCGATTTATAAAGGGGCATAACTCGATAATGGTTAAAGTGACACTACCCAAATTCAACTTGATCTGTGTTTTATCAGTGGAAGACAAAATTAAACATTGCATTGTATAAAGCATTGATTGTAGTTGATTCAACTATAATCATGGACAAAGGAAGATAACTCCAATTTTAATAATTACTTAATAGAAGAAACTAAAAGTTTTGCAATTTTTCCATTTATAAAGGAGCATAACTCTAGAACGGTTAAAGTGACGCCACCAAAATTCAAACTTGATCTGTGTTTTGTGGTAATAAGCATTGTGTATAAGTTTCATAACATTTTGTTGAGGCAAACTTTAGAACGGAAAACTAAAAATTTTGCAATTTTTCCATTTATAAAGGGGCATAACTCTAGAACAGTTAAAGTGACGCCACCAAAATTCAAACTTGATCTGTGTTTTGTGGTAATAGGCATTGTGTATAAGTTTCATAACATTTGGTTGAGGCAAACTCAAGTTAAAGAAAGGAAACCAATTATGGGACAAACGGACGGATGTACGTACAGACGGACAAGGGAAAACTTAATGCCCCCACCGCTACGGCGGGGGCATAAAAACTGTTGAAAACTGATTAAGTGAATTTTTCTATGTCCAAAGACCATACATGTAACTCTGCACAAAATTATCAGACTGGAACAAAATTCCAACTTGATCTGTAACTTGTCATGATAAAACTATATACTAATTATCAAATCTCTTCAAGAATGACAAACAAACCTACCATTAAATTCTTCAAACAATTTACCAAAGAAAACGAAAAAAATCCAAAAATGTCATTTTGTCTTTTAAAAAATGAGTTATTTCCCTTTGAACAGAAATCTACTAATTAATAAGTATTTCATCAAAAATTTAATTCTAGGGAAAGGATGTTTAACTGAACAAAGAGAAAAGCTAAAATCGTGAAAATTGAACTTGACCTGTAGCTTGTAATGATAAATCAATTAACCAAATATCAAATCAATATCTTCAAGCAAGAAGAAAAAAAGTCTGGAAAACTGATTTGGCGGACTGACAGAAGGACGGAGTGCAAACCTAAAGTCCCCTTCGACTTCGTCGGTAGGGGACTTAAAAGTATGCTAGCCAAAATAAAACTTTGACATCGTTCTTTAATATGTAAGTTGAAATGGACATCTTTCATTTCCTTTATTGGGGACACTTCAGCTGAGCTCAGATCAATACAGAAGTGCATAACTGTGCTCATGAATGAAACACTAGGTTTGACTGAGCTCTATCCAAAAATTTTGAAACTTATGAGTGTGGCAGCAGTTTTGCCACTGAGCACAGCTGAGGTTGTTGAGTGTGTGTTTTCTCAAGTAAAGCTGATCAAATGTGATCATAGAAATAGGCTCAAGCAATCAACACTTGAGAACTTGCTACATATCAAAATTAACTGTCATAATGACATGTTCTGTTCAATTTTAGACAATGTTGTAACAAAGTTTTTTAAAGTCAAACAGAGAAGACTGTGCCAAAAGTATTGAACTTTATTACTCCATTTTAACTGAAACTTGATTTTACCACAGTGCCTGAGTTATATAGAGTATGTTGTGTACATTAATAATTGCCCTTTTTTCAATGACATTTACACGTAAAATTGCCCTTTTTCTGACTAGCACCCTGCCCTTTTCAAATCCTGGCTAGAACACTGAGAGGAGATGATCTTTGTAAAAGTTAATGGACGACGACAGACGCCAAGTGATGGGAAAAGCTCACATGGCCCTTTGTTCCAGTCAACTGATAATTTTGAGTAAAGTCATAAAAGTAGAACAACAAATGAAGTCAGGAATTTGAAAAGTAATACTATCATATCATTATGTACCTTTAGCATTCAATGCATTTATGATGAGCAAATCCATATCTGTATCATTTAACTTCTTTCTGTGCATGATGGATTCCTTTAGATCTCTTACAGAAATATGTAAGCCATCAAAAGTGATGGAATCAAAGTCCAAACTATTCTTAAACTTGTAATGAATACAAGCCATGGTGGTAATTGGTTACAGCTTCAAATGGTAAATCTGAAAATAAAAAATTTCTTTCACAATTATTTATCTCATGAAAATGGCTGTTATTTGAGAATTGTGAGTCTATAAATGACATATCACATTGCATACAAATGTTCTTAATAACAACTTCCATAACATGCTATTTCATTGTACATATTTACTTATTACATACTACATGTTATTATTACATACTACATGTAACAACACTGCCTTAGGTAGCTACACTGTTACATGAGGCCAAGCATTGAAAATAAAATGGATTAAAAGAACAATCCATTGTATTTAAAATAGAACTGGGTGAGATTTTTATGTACATGCACTGTTCGCCCCCTGGGTTCGTTCTCACCCTATTTTTATTTGTTTGAATTATTAGTGTTTTTTTATATAAATCAAAATATATAAACTTTCACGATTAAATTTCGGGAATTTTTAAATAAAATATTTTTTTGGTGATTTGATGATCAATTATTTTAATTATGTATAATTAGTGTTAATTGGTATTGACAAAGTCAAATTTGGTATTATTGTTCTGTGTTTAAAAATCATGATTGTTGTTATAACTAGCTTTGATGTAAACATGCATGTAGTTAGCTTGGTATGAGTAAACTCAATGAAGATTTGGTATCTTCCGCCTTTCTTTTACAAGTCTTATATAAATGAACTTTGCCTTGATCATCACTGGGACACAATCATTGTATAACAGTCCAAGATCATCATGATTATTTCGTCAAAATATTGCCAATGAGACAACTCTCCACAAAACACCAAATGACACAGAAATTAACAACTATAGGTCACCGTACGGCCTTCAACAATGAGCAAAGCCCATACTGCATAGTCAGCTATAAAAGGCTAAAATGACAAATGTAAAACAATTCAAACGAGAAAACTAACGGCCTAACTTATGTACAAAATAATGAACGAAAAACAAATATGAAACACAGCAACAAACGACAACCACACAATTACAGGTTCCTGACTTGGGACAGGCACAAACAGAATGTGGCGGGGTTAAACAAGTCCAGGCCATAATCTTGCCGGCGAAATGAAGATTTATGTCGCCAAAGAATTTTGAAAATCGCTAAATCTCGCCGGCCGACTGACTTCATGGCGAAGTCAAATCGCTATCAAAATCGGTAAAAGGGAGACAACTTGTGATTGACATGTCTCACAGGTAAAAAAAAATGGCGGCTGACAAGGAAAATCGAGATTTTCGAAACGACCCAGGACTAATACTGTCAACTATCAAATTAAATAAATACAACGGCGACTTTGAACATCCTCGGATATAACTTTCAAAACTATTCAAACGGAAAACTGGATGTCTGTTTAAGTTATCATTTTACGATGATTTTCATTACTCACACGAGTCGATCAATTTTACTATTTGGTAGGTAAAGGGTGGGAATTAACGGTAGATTTATTATATTGATTGAATAAAAATTGAAATATAAAAGGTAGAAAGACAGCTGATGGATAATGTGATTGCAAACGTACAACACTCAACCAGATTGTGATCAGCAGTGGAATTTTTCTCATGACCATTTCGTTGATATGGATGATATCTTTAAATAAAATGCTTCGCTGGGCGCAGCTTAATACGACCGCAGAGGTCGAACCCTGAACAGTTGGGGCAAGTATGGACACAACATTCAAGCTTGATACAGCTCTGAATTTGGATTGTGATTAAATATTTGACACAGCATAGGTTCTGACACAGAAAGAATGTGGTCTAAGAACAATTTTTTTAATTTACCTATTATGGTCCAATGTCCAAAATCAAAATACATGGTTAGATTCAGCATATCAAAGAACCCCATATATTCATTTTTTGTTGAAATCAAACAAAGTTTAATTTTGGACCCCAACTTGAACAAACTTGAAAACTGGTCCAATAATCAAAAATCTAAACACATGTTAAGATTCAGCATATCAAAGTACCCCAAGAATTCAATTTTTGTTAAAATCAAACTAATTTTAATTTTGGACCCTTTGGACCTTAATGTAGACCAATTTAAAAAACGGGACCCAAAATTAAAAATCTAAAAACACGGTTAGATTTGGCATATCAAAGAACCCCAATAATTCAATTTTTGATGAAATCAAACAAAGTTTAATTTTGGACCCTTTTGACCTCAATATGAACCAATTTGATAGCGGGCCCACAAAATAAAAAATCTAAATACATGGTAAGATTCAGCATATCAAAGAACCCCATATCTTCAATTTTTGTTGAAATCAAACAAAGTTTAATTTTGGACCCCAATTTGGACCAACTTGAAAACTGGGCCAAAAATCTAAATACATGTTTAGATTCAGCATATCAAAGAACCCCATATATTCAATTTTTGTTGAAATCAAACAAAGTTTAATTTTGGACCCCAACTTGGACCAACTTGAAAACTGGTCCCATAATAAAAAATCTAAACACATGTTTAGATTCAGCATATCAAAGAACCCCAAAAATTCAATTTTTGTTAAAATCAAACTAAGTTAAATTTTGGACCCTTTGGACCTTAATGTAGACCAATTTAAAAAACGGGACCCAAAATTAAAAATCTAAATACACGGTTAGATTTGGCATATCAAAGAACCCCAATAATTAAATTTTTGATGAAATCAAACAAAGTTTAATTTTGGACCCTTTTGACCTCAATATGAACCAATTTGATAGCGGGCCCACAAATAAAAATCTAAATACATGGTAAGATTCAGCATATCAAAGAACCCCATATATTCAATTTTTGTTGAAATCAAACAAAGTTTAATTTTGGACCCCAATTTGGACCAACTTGAAAACTGGGCCAAAAATTTAAAATCTAAATACATGTTTAGATTCAGCATATCAAAGAACCCCATATATTCATTTTTTGTTGAAATCAAACAAAGTTTAATTTTGGACCCCAACTTGGACCAACTTGAAAACTGGTCCCATAATAAAAAATCTAAACACATGTTTAGATTCAGCATATCAAAGAACCCCAAGAATTAAATTTTTGTTAAAATCAAACTCAGTTTAATTTTGGACCCTTTGGACCTTAATGTAGACCAATTTAAAAACGGGACCCAAAATTAAAAATCTAAATACACGGTTAGATTTGGCATATCAAAGAACCCCAATAATTCAATTTTTGATGAAATCAAACAAAGTTTAATTTTGGACCCTTTTGACCTCAATATGAACCAATTTGATAGCGGGTCCACAAATAAAAAACTTTAAATACATGGTTAGATTCAGCATATCAAAGAACCCCAAGAATTCAATTTTTGATGAAATCAAACAAAGTTTAATTTTGGACCCTTTTGACCTCAATGTGGACAAAGTTGATAACGGGGCCCAAAAATCAAAAATCTAAATACATGGTTAGATTCAGCATATCAAAGAACCCCATATATTCAATTTTTGTTGAAATCAAACAAAGTTTAATTTTGGACCCCGATTTGGACCAACTTGAAAACTGGGCCCATAATCAAAAATCTAAATACATGTTTATATTCAGCATATCAAAGTACCCTAAAAATTCAATTTTTGTTAAAATCAAACTAAGTTTAATTTTGGACCCTTTTCACCTTAATGTAGACCAATTTGAAAACGGAACCAAAAATTAAGAATCTAAATACACGGTTAGATTCGGCATATCAAAGAACCCCAATAATTCAATTTTTGATGAAATCAAACAAAGTTAAATTTTGGACCCTTTGGACCTCAATGTGGACCAATTTAAAAACGGGGCCCAAAATCCAAAAACTTAATACACGGTTAGATTCAGCATATTAAAGAACCCCAAGAATTCAAGAATAAAACCCCATTGAAATTGATCAAGAAATAAGCAATTTATACGAAGTATCTTCTTTTGCACAATACTGTGCAATTGAATATTTCTTGCTATTGTGCAATACTGTACAATTGACAATTTCTTGCTATTGCGCAATATTGTGCTATTGGATATTTCTTGCTATTGCGCAATACTGTGCAATTGAAGATTTCTTGCTATTGCGCAATACTGTGCAATTGAAGATTTCTTGCAATTGTGCAATACTGTGCAATTGAAAATTTCTTGCTATTGCACAATACTTATTATATAATAATTTACACATCCTGTTTGGTGTGTATCTCCTACCATATCATTATTATTTGCTTTTAAATATTAATCAGAAATAACCAACTTAAAATGGAAAATTTTAAAAGAAAAAAAAAAGGAAAAAAAGAAAAAAAAAGAAAAAAAAAAATTCCCCCCCCCCAATTTTTTGAACCCCCTTATGATTCATCACCCCCAAACTCAATCCCAGCCTTCCCTTTGTGGTATGGTACCTTGCAGTACAATTTCAGAGAGATCCATACACTTGAACACAAGTTATTGTCTGGAAACTAGAAAAATGCTTATTTTTGGCCCCTTTTTGGCCCCCAATTCCTAAACGTTTCGGGCAATTACCCCCAAACTCAATTCCAGCTTTCCCTTTGTGATATGGAACCTTGTAGTACAATTTCAGAAATATCCAAACACTTACACACAAGTTATTGTCATGAAACTAGAAAAATGCTTGTTTTTTGCCCCTTTTTTGGCCCCTAATTCCTAAAATTTTGAGGCAATTACCCCCAAAATCAATCCCAGCATTCCCTTTGTGAAATGGAACCTTGTGGTACAATGTCAGAGAGATCCATACACTTACACACAAGTTATTGTCTGGAGGTTACAAAAATGCTTATTTTTGGCCCCTTTTTGGCCCCTAATTCCTTAACTGTTGGTACCATAACCCCAAAAATCAATCCCCACCTTCCTTTCGTGGTATTGAACCGTATGGTAAAATTTCATGGAGATCCATTCACTTAAACTAAAGTTAGAGTGCGAAAACCAATGTGTCTTCGGACGACGCCGGACGACGCCAGACGACGACGACGACGACGACGACGACGACGACGACGCCAACGTCATACCAATATACGACCAAAAAATTTTCAATTTTTGCGGTCGTATAAAAATGATAGAAATTAGCTCTTTATCGGATAATTA